GGTACATACTCTCCCGAAGCCTAGGGGGACCCATCAGAACAGAAAGGGCCAACAACCCTTGCATAGGGTAGTCGGCCATGGCGGAACTCAGCACAGGGACCCCTCCGCTGGTCCCACCAGGTAAGACTCCCAGGAGTTATCCTTAAACTAATTTGTCGTGGATGAGATGATTCTGTTTTTTTTTTTTTTCAGACTCTGGATGTCACTGCTTTTACAATAACGATTTTCAGAACTTTCAAAAACTTTTAATATTCAGTACGACTTTTTTTTTTGTTGTTGTCAGTCTTCAACTTCAGATATTAAACTAATCAGAATAGATACTTCACTTGATCTTAGCCAAAAGTCCACCTGCTTTCTTCTAACTGTTGTCTAGTTGTGAATGTTTTTCTTTTTATTTTATCTTCTTTACTAACCCTGTTTGTCTGTCCTCATGCGCAGGGAGAAACTGGAGTGCTTACTATGTCAGATGCTGGGACAATACTTCGATCACAACTTATCTCTGCCCAGTCGATTGTTCCTTATACCTTGTTTGCAACTGACGTGACTGTCTGCCACAACCCCCCAGCGTACTCCTATCTTTACTATTGCGCAAATGTCAGACCAGAGGGAAGAAGGACAAGGACTCTGACCACTCTTACTCTGACGTGACCAGACCCTTCAACCCTAGACTGTACACCAGGTGACTCGACCTGACAGCAGCAGCAGTGACCACCAGAGAAGAGAGGTAGAGGTATCACACACACACATGCAGCCAGGTAAGGGGATGAGGAATTCTTCTCTCTTTTGCAGCTGCCGTTGATGAAGACTCCTCGTCGCTCCGCACTCCAAAGCTCCACGCGAGGTAAGTACTTCTCCTTAGCCCCTTCCCCTTCGGCTTACTTCCCCTCCTGTATCCCAACCACTGTCTTCCTACACCTCCACCATAGCCAGCATCTTCAAGCCAGCATGTCTCCCTCGCCGGCCTTACTCATGCCAACGAATCAGTGAGTGCAAGGAGTCACGCTCCAATACCAAATTGCAAGGAACCTGACTGTTCACAATTGCTGGAGTGTTCAATTGCCATGCATATTCGTCATCACACAGATAGGATAGTTTCACACAAAGCCAAAGTCGAGATGAGATAGGAACCAGATAGCGCAGCTCTTATTATCAAATTCACATTATACAAGGGTATCTCGAGTTCAAAAGTTCAGCACCAACAAACTGCAAGTCTTCTTCCCTCGCTCGCCAGCATAGGGGCTGATTCAACCAGCATCACCCTTCAGAACACTAGTATGGAACAAACAGGTAAGCATTCACCATATCTCACTTCGTAACCTGTCTTCTCTCTCTCTCTCTGTATCCTCTCTCTCAAGATCCCTGTCGTGGTTCCCTTCTCTCACTATGCATGCACACTCCTTATCTACGAGAATCTACTC